GTTGTCTGGGGAGTACACAGGATTATGACACAATTCTTAGCCCCTTCTGGAAGCTGAGGGTGAAGTGTGATAGTCTGGATGGTACGGACTGTCTGAGAAACCTGCTCTGGGATAGATCCCTGTGGTGGCTGTTGGGGTCATACACGGAAGAACAAATAAAAACAGATCAGTCAAGTTAAAGGAGCACAAATCGTTGCCATAGGAAAGTCAGGATGGATTGATATTTTCCTGAAAGGATTCTGGAGAAGCTATCATCTGAGCACTGAAGGTGGATCTGGAAACAGAGAGATGGGTAGAGAGAGTAGGCAGTTGGGAATGTGCATGTCTAAATGTAGTAGACAGCTGCACCAAACAGCAAGGATGGGTGCTTCGTGTTACAGCCTATGTGGCCCTGGGGAAGTGACCTAAGCTCCAAAAGCTTCAATTTTCTCTTCTGTAATATGGGGACATCGATATTTACCTGTACAAAGAGCTAGCAGAGTCTTTGGTACCCACTCATTGTTTGGTAACTAATACTTGGAATACACTGTGACAGTTAAAAGCATTGGAGTGAAGTCAGAACGGGGGTGAAGCTCTTCTCTCCTATTTCCGGCTTTATAAACACAGCCAGGAAAAGTTATTCTGTCACCGCTGAACTTCACTTGGATCATTTGAATTTGGGATGAATTTTGTCTTTTTCTGAGACAGGGTCTTACTGTGTGGATGACCTTGAACTCAGGACCCTCAGGGTTCTAAGTGCTGGAATCACAGGTATGCACCACCATGCCAGGCCTGAAAAATGGGGATTAATTAGTAGGTTCCTTATAGAGTTGTTTTGAAACTTAATGAACTACCATGAAGCATAAAAAATGAGCCTGGCACATTGTAGACTCTCAAAACCATCAGCCATTATGTTATTTTTATGAGTATAGCGGCTCTGTTTTCTCCCAGATATTTACTTGGCGATTATTTCATATTCTTTCCTCCTTCTCTCTGCCCTTGTTTTCATCCATCGTCTTTCAACATTTATCAGTGGTGGCTGTAGAGACTGAAGACAGAGGCTTGAAAGAATGTGGAGGTAGAGAGTAACCGGTCAGCACCACACACCCGACAGAGCAGCAAGGACCAGATAAGGAAGGGGCCTCTCAGAACACATAAATATGAACGACAGGAGCATAAACACATAAGCAACCCTTGACTGAGTCATCCTCATTAAGGCCACTAAGGGATTTTCTTCTTAAGAGTTTAGGCCACACGGCCTCGTTGGTTAAGTTTCTTCATCAATGTGTTGTTTCCCAGAGGATAAAATCTAAACTGCTTGGAACAGCAGTTGAGATCCTTTCTACTCTGTTGTCTGCCTGTCTTTCCAGATTTTTTTTTTTTTTCTGCTCTTTCCCCTAAATATGCCAAATCTCTGCTGCTTTGAAGTTTTTCTTTCTAGAATGCCTTTGTATGTCTTGGACTCCTCTCTGTCCGCCAGACAAACTTCCACTCATCCTTCAGGGTCCTGCTATGAGGGACTTCTGTGATGCCGCTGATCCCTCTCGAATCAGTTATTTGCTCTTTCAGGTTTCACAAAGCATCTCTCCAGTACCCGCCTGTTTATATTGTCTTATAATGATTGATTTTTCTATTTATGTATTTTTTGTTGTACTGTATAAGAGACAGTCCCCTACTTAACAATTGTTCAACGTAAAATCTGATGTCTTCATGATGGTGCAATATGATTTTCTATCAGGAGAAGCTGAACTTCCAATTTTGAAGTTCTCTCCAGCCCCAGGCTAGCATCTGTGGTGTGCTGACTCTGATGTTGCTGGCAGGGCAGTAAGCCACAGCTCCCACTCAGCTACTCAATCACCCAGTGCCACAATGTACGCAGGTGCTAAGCTCTGATACTGGGTAGGTTAGGCATATGAAATACATTTTGACTTGTAATTTTTCAAGCCTTGGATTCATCAAGTTAAAACCCTGTCACAAGTGAAGGCACATGTATATCAGATATCACTGTATTATATGCCTCTGTGTGTTGGCAGTCAGTACTGTACACAGCATGGGGCAGCTAGTAAATATTTGCATGCTAAATGAAAGACGTAGTAGACCCAGGACTGCTGACTGCTCTGGTTTGCTCGCCAAAGTTTGAGGATGTTTTCTGTTGGGATTGCCATAAAGTCATTGCCTCACAGAATTCAACTGTTAGAAACAACCCTCATTTCATAGATAAAGAATTCAGGATGTAGAGGATAGTCTTATTTTCCCGTCTCCATAAGGTCAAATCTTTCTTCTTCTTCTTTTCCTCCTCCTCCTCCTCCTCCTCCTTCCTCTTCCTCCTCCTCCCTCTTCTTGGGGATGAAAACCACTGAGACTTAAGTTGCCTCCATGGTCTTTGTTCTCAGCTTGGAGTGGTACAAGTCTCTCTCTCTTTCTCCTCCTCCTGCTCCTGCTCCTCCTCCTGCTCCTCCTCCTGCTCCTGCTCCTCTTCCTCTCCTCCTCCTCCCCTCCTCCTCCTCCTCTTTCTCCTCCTCCTCTTCTTCTTTAAAACACAATGACAGACTCTAACATTTGAAGAAAACCTGAATTTTTATAATCCCACTAATTTCCTCTCTTATGGACTGTCTTCCAGATCATTCC